TACATGCATGCATATATATATATATATATATATATATATATATATGTTATATAAATGTTTGACTAATGCATGGAATAATAATGCAACACAAAATGTACTTAGAACAAAATGTATTGAAACAAGAAAGTGTACACAATATTTACATATAGTCTTTTGTATATTCCTGGTAAGACCGTTCCTGGAGAATGTGTTGACAGAGTCGCAGTCGGGCAGAGTCTCTGGATTGAATCTCTTGATTCCTCCCTCTATTCCCGGTACCAACCATATTTATATGGTCAGTACTCCACTATGCAAATTAGGTGGATCCTACCACAACAATATATATATCAAGTATGTGGTGCATTTCAATTTACATTACATGAATCATTCATACAAAAAACAGATATAGATGTTAATGATTTAAATGGCGAGAATACATCTTCGCAAACAAATTTAATAAAGTACTTTAACCCCGAAGCTGTATATGAATGTTATGATCCCTGTTTATAAATTCCAGTTGCATAAGGTCTTTTTTAGTTTTTTTACAAGCTTTCATCTGTTCCTACAGACATCTTCAGGTATGGAAATAGATTTGTTTTTGTTTTTTACTTCTCCGTAATAACAGGACAACGAAAATAGAGATGTAATACGAAAAAATACTATGAGAAATGTGTTATTGTTAATTGTAAGAAACTAAAAATGAAAAAAAGAACGGGATTAATGTACTTTATTAAATTAGTTTGCGAAGATGTATTCTCGCCATTTAAATCATTAACTTCTATATCTGTTTTTTGTATGAATGATTCATGTAATCTATATATATATTATGATTTTCCATATAGACAAAAATAATTTACTCACTACAAAGATACAACTTCGTTTCGGTGCATTTAGTTGCACCTCGACTGGTGAGAACCAAAATGCTTATGAACAATTCTGCTTGAAAGCAAGCCCCGCGTGGAACGTCACTTACTTTTTTTCCCATTTGTTTGAAAAAAAAAAGTAAATTTTAAGAAGGGACGTATAAGAATAAAGAAAAGATAGAAAAGACAAAAGGGTGACAGAGTGAAACAATAGTACTTCTTGACAGCAGTTTAGTGAAGGATTGTTGAGTTTTTTTAAAAACGACAGCAACTGTCAAGGGTCTAAGCACAACATTTCCAAGCCTCCTAAGAGTGATGGTTGGGGGAGGAAAGGTGAGAGGAAAAGATATTAAGACAGACTAAATATATATGAAATATATATATAAGTCGATGTAATATATACGAAATATATATATATAAGACGAAGAAATATAAATATAAGACGATGAAATACATATGAAGTATAATATATATATATATATATATATAGTTCAGAGCAGATAACATTAGAAAGATTTTAGAGTTCCATGAAAATAAGTGGATACAACGTCTAAAAACACACTATCCAGCCGGGCTAAACCATAAATTTAACAATATAGATAGTACTAATATATAACACTACAGATCAAAACCTACCCACATTTCTCACCCACACAAGATAGACATGCTTACGGAGGTGTTGAGGCCTCACACTTATACACACACCCACACGAATATACACACTTACACACACCATACTCACTCACTCCCTAATGAGTCAAATGATAACACACCTACAGCAATACACACACTTACACATATCATACTCACTCACTCCCTAAGAACCAAATAACACACACACAAACACTTAACAGAGACACATCCCCTCTCCAGGACCAATAAAACTGTCAAACTGACGACGGGAATTCAGAGAAGCATAGATCCATCCAGCTCTTATCTCAAATAACAACTTAAAAGAGACTGTTTGACCAACACAAGGAATGTTAAAAGATTCATGTTAAAAAGATAAAAAAATAAAAAAACAAATGAAAACTACAGACAAAAGTTCATTTTCTCCACCAAGACATTCATTTCTGTAGTTTATTGCTACCAGCAAGCAGAAATATTTCTTCTCCTGGTGATGGCCATTTTGGACGAAACTAGGCGAGGAATCTAAATGAAATAATAATAATAAAAAAAACGAAAGAATATTAATTTACAACCCAGTGTGTCTAAAGATTTTAATTTTTTAATATTTTTTATTGTTCAATATATATATATATATGTGTGTGTGTGTGTGTGTGTGTGTCGGAAATCAGCCGATACTGCTACCTTCGTTTCAAACTTAGGTATCTTCAGACGCCTGACAACCGAAAGGTTGAAACCAAGGTAGTGGAATCAGCTGATTTCTTAATTTTCCATACTTAAAAACTCTACATGTTAAATTTGTATCTTTTTATGTGTGTACTGAACGAAGATGACGCATGTGAGTTGAAAGCTTTCCTTTTGTTTGTATTCATAGTCCTTTTACAGATATATTTCAGTTATATCAAAAAGAATTTTCACATACGCGCACGCACACACACACACACACAGATAGATAGATAGATAGATAGATAGATAGATAATATTAGTGGTAAATATACACATACATATGCAAAATATATAAATATATATACATACATGCATACACATACATATATATTTTTTTGAATAAAAGAAAATTCTGAGAGGATAGAATCCAGGTAGAACTCAATGTCCGGGACAAAGTAAGGATATAATAAAAAGGCTTAAACACTAATATTCCATGGTCATAATTTATTCCATTGGAATTGTAAATACGATCCAATTCATCAGACCTAAAAATTCAAAAAGAAAACAGAAAAAAACAACTCCAGAAAAAAAAAAAAATATTTAGAGAGAGTGTAAGTATGAGAGTGTGGGTTGAATGTTAGAGCTAAAGAGAGGGGTAACAGACGAGAGAAGGTGGGGGATTAAAACTTAACAGAGAGAAGTTTTAGAGAGGTGAGTTAAAGACGATTTAAGTGAGAGAAATATGAAAGTTGTCGGATGTCTAAGAAAAGAATTTTGTCAAATTTTCTTAATTACACAGCGGCCCTTTCAGTAAATGCCCTTCAGTTTTAGTTTACTCCACCCCTTTTTCTTTTCTTTTCCTCTCCCTCCCTCTTCCTCTGATCTTTAAGATCAGATCGTCTATTGTGTGTGCATCCTTTCCGGTTACATCTTTAATGTATTAGACATGTGTACAAATTATGTTTGACCAAAATTCATGTGCTGTTCCAAATTTACAACTCACATGAATCATCTTCTGAGTGTGTGCGTGTGTGGGCAGTAAGAATAGAAAACTAAGCCTGTTTCAATTGTATTTTTAAAAGTGACGTTTTTTTTTAAAGCTACACAAATTCAGCAAGTCATGTATTGATAGATTTGTTTTTTACGGGTTGCCAACCCATTCTGAGTTATTTAAAGCCGAAACATATTCGTACCATTTTACCAAGGAGATATATTATTACCTTTCCTAAAGGCATATGCGCGTAACTGAATGTAAAGTAACGACTGGGATTCGAACACGGCTTCCGATCCTCATCCATTACAACCACTCGCAACATTAACGAAAATACGCTAACTTAACATATATATATATATATATATATATATATATATATATATATATATATATATATATATATATATATATATATATATATATATATATATATACGTTAACCTAACGTGTAAATATATATATATATATATATATATATATATTAACATAACGTATATATATATATATATATATATATATACGTTAACCTAACGTATATATATTTATATATGCATATATATATACGTTAACGTAACGTATATATATATAGAGAGATAGATAGATAGATAGATAGATAGATAGATAGATAGATAGATAGATAGATATACGTTAAGTTGGTGTATTTCAGTTAATGTGCGAGTGGTGTAATGGATAGAGAATCGGAAGCCGCGTTCGAATCCCAGTCGTGTTACTTACATTCACTTACGCGTATATGCCTTTAGAAAAGTTAATAATATATCTCCTATATATTTCTTATATAAGTAAAAAACGGAAGTATCAATAATAAAAAGGAAAAAAACAATATACAATAACATCAACTGCAAACACGGCCACAATGTGCTGATCGTCTTTGGAAAATAAAAAATGCATTCCCATCATTATAAATACACACCTATAAAAAAATCTATATATCCAGTTGAAAAAGAAAAAATATCCTTGGTAACGGCTAATAGAATAGCCGAAACCGCTCGGAATTATAGAACATGTGAACAGTTTCTTCACACTCTGTGTCCCAAAAAATAATCACTAAATTCTTAATCGCCTTTAATAAATCATACTTATTATAAAACCCAGGTTGTTTGTTTGCTTGTGTGTGTGTGTGTGTGTTCGTTTATATATTGGATCGGATTTCCTACATTTTTCAACCGATTTCAACAAAACTTCTCAGAACAGGCCTCGGGTAGGTCGTCCAAAGAAGCTGAGCGCACGTGCTGAGCATCACATCCAAATGCTTTCTTTGAAAGATCGGCGTAGGAGTGCTATTAGCATTGCTGCAGAGATTAAAAAGATTGGGATTCAGCCTGTTAGTGTTCAGACCATACACCGCACACTACATCAAATTGGTGTGCATGGCTGTCACCCCAGGAGGAAGCCTCTTCTGAAGGCAATACACAAGGAAGCCCGCAAACAGTTTGCTGAAGACATGTCAACAAAGCCCATAGATTACTGGAACCATGTCCTATGGTCTGATGAGACGAAATTTAATTTGTTTGGTTCTGATGGCCTTAAGCATGTGTGGCGGCGACCAGGTGAGGAGTACAAAGATAAGTGTGTCATGCCTACAGTCAAGCATGGTGGTGGGAATGTCATGGTCTGGGGCTGCATGAGTGCTGCAGGTATTTCATTGAGGGAAACATGAACTCCAACATGTACTGTGAAATACTGCAGCAGAGCATGACCCCCTTCCTCCAGAAAATGACAATGACCCCAAACACACATCCAAGACGACCACTGCTTTACTGAAGAGGCTGAGGGTAAAGGTGATGGACTGGCCAAGCTGGTCTCTAAACTTGAACCCAATAGAACATCTTTAGGCCATCCTCAAGCAGAAGATGGAGGTGCGCAAAGTCTCAAATATCCGCCAGCTCCGCGACGTCGTCATTGAGGAGTGGAAGAGCATTCCAGTGACTATCTGTGAAGCTCTGGTAAACTCCATGCCCAGGAAAGTAAAGGCAGTTTTGGATAATGATGGTGGCCACACAAAATATTGACAGTTGACGTGTATGTTAATGTGGGCAACTTTTCCTAAGGGGTGTACTCACTTTTGTTGCCAGGGATTTAGCTTTTAATGGCTATATTTTGAGTTATTTTGAAGGAAAAATAAATTAACTCTGTTATATATGCTGCAGACAGGCTACTTTTCATTGTGTCAAAGTGTCATTTTGTCAGTGTTGTCCCATGAAGAGATATACTTAAATATTTGAAGAAATGTGAGGGGTGTACTCACTTTTGTGATACACCGTATATATATATATATATATATATATATATATAAGGAATGAGCTTATTTATTATTGTAATGCTTCTGTTACTTCTTGATGCGTTATCTAACAGCACTTCAGTCAAATAAAGTGCACGTATATCTACTTGAAAGAGTTTTTGTTGTATGACCTATATGTAATCCATTGTGTTTATTATTAACAGAGATGTACTCAATGATTGGACAAATGAATTCATAAACGACATTAGATCTTTTGTTAATTTATTTTTATAAAACGTAAAACTTATTACTGTAAATACTTTCAGGGTTCAAAAGCTGAATTAAAAATAGATATTGATAACGATAGAACAGCTATCTTTAAAAAAAAAAGCCGCTACAAACAAACAAAAAAAAGAAAAGAAAGAAAGAAAAAAAACCCTGACAGCATATTTTCGTTATATTAAATAAAAATGAATACGACACAAAATCTTGTATTCCCAATGACAACTTCCTCCTTTAAATGTACCGTGACCCTTCATGGCATACGTCAGTGGTTCTCAATTTTCTTTTACCCATGGACCACTTTTAATTGGTTATGTTTGACCGCCATAACAATTCAATAAAAAAAAGCTTATTTTATTTTTTTTTTTTACTAATAGATAAGTTAAGAAATTGTATTAGAAATAGTAAATGTATATACTTTATTTTGACGTAAAATTAATTTAATGAAGATAAACTTGTGTTTAATAACTAAATTCTATGGAACATGTACGCTACGGTGGAGTAATGCATAGCGGCTCGGATTGAGGAATCGGAGAGCCGAGTTCCAGTTCAATCGATTACTTATGTGAACATTTTGCAATCATTTACTCCAAGCAAGGCAATAAATCCACTAAGACGCAAAGGAGTTACTGAATGAGAAATAATATGAGAAAAAAAAACATTATGAAGGAGAGAAAACTAAAAAAAAAATCAGGAGTTAAGATGACGAAAGATACCGATTGACGTTGCATTTAATTTTTTGAAAATCAAAGTTGACAGGAAAGCAAAAAAGCTGGAAGAGAGTTCCACAAGCGAGAGAAGAAACTGTTAGCATAGAATTTACGGTTGTATCTAGCAATTTCAGTTGTAAATTTATGAAACCTATCTATCAATCTCTTACTACACTTAAATTTCCTAGATTCGAAGTTCTAAAGATTAAAGCTCATCAGAACAATTGCCATGAAAATATTTATAAAAAAGGCACAGGAAAGCTATATTACAACGTTGGAAAGTCACTGAAGAAGATATGCCAGGTCAGGACTGATAACATTGCAGATTCTTCTTTTCAAGAATCGCTAAATGCATAGCAAAATCAACAGACCAGATGTGGCAGCAATATTCTATGCATAGACGAATGGCAGACTCATAAAAGTGTTAGAGAGATTGTGGTGAAAAGATTGTCTAGCACGACACCAACTTTACAAGCAACAAACCTAACATTGTTTTGATTATAGAAAAGGCACAGGGAAGCCATATTAAATGCAAATATGTGAATAATAATAATGATAATAATTTTAGATTCTGATGCTGCCACAGGTCAGGCTCTCGTGGCTTCTGATCTTAATTGAATGTGTTTAAATATATAGGTTTGTTTTGTGAATTAAAGATATGCTAAAGTAAATATCATGTTCAATAACACAGATATGGTTAATAATAACCCAATTGGGCATGTCACCCTTAGCGCTGATGCACTGGGCATCTCTGTTCATGGACGGGAGTAGCGAGTGAACATCATGACTGGATGTCGAGGGGGTTGGGTTTTCTTCAAGTATGAAGGACGAAACAGATAAGGGGATTTGGATATCGAATCTCGATTGTTTATAACAAGGACAGTTTGTAAGAAAAAATTGTGAAAATATATCGAAACTAAATCTTCTTTTCTCTTCTTTTGCTTCTATCTCTTTTTTTTTCACCCTCTTCTTCCATTTTTTCTTCTGCTGCTTCTTTTTCACCCCCTTCTTCCATTTTTTTCTTCTGCTTCTTCTTTTCACCCTCTACTTCCATTTTTTCTTCTGTTCTTCTTTTTTTCACCCTCTTCTTCCATTTTTCTTCTTCTTCTTCTTTTCACCCTCTTCTTCCATTTTTCTTCTCTTCTTCTTTTCCTTCTTCTTCATTTTTTTTTCTTCTGCTTCTTCTTTTCACCCTCTTCTTCCATTTTTTCTTCTGCTTCTTCCTTTTCACTTCTTCCATTTTTTCATTTCCTTCTTTCTTCGTTTTTCACCCTCTTCTTCCATTTTTTCTTCTGCTTCTTCTTTTCCCCTTCTTCCATTTTTTTCTTCTGCTTCTTCTTTTTCCTCTTCTTCCATTTTTTTTTTCTTCTTCTTTTTTCACCCACTTCTTCCATTTTTTCTTCTTCTTCGTTTCACCCTTCTTCCATTTTTTCTTCTTCTTCCTTTTCACCCTCTTCTTCCATTTTTTTTTCTTTGCTTCTTCTTTTTTCACCCACTTCTTCCATTTTTTCTTTCTTTTTTTTCTTCTTTCTTCCGTTTTCACCTCTTCTTCCATTTTCTTCTTCTTCTTCTTTTCACCCCTTCTTCCATTTTTTCTTTGCTTCTTCTTTTTCATCCCTCTTCTTCCATTTTTCTTCTGCTTCTTCTTTTTTTCACCTCTTCTTCCATTTTTTTTCATGCTTCTTCTTTTTCACCCTCTTCTTCCATTTTTTCTTCTGCTTCTTCTTTTTCACCCTCTTCTTCCATTTTTTCTTCTGCTTCTTCTTTTTCACCCTCTTCTTCCATTTTTTCTTCTGCTTCTTCTTTTTCACCCTCTTCTTCCATTTTTCTTCTGCTTCTTCTTTTTCACCCTCTTCTTCCATTTTTTCTTCTGCTTCTTCTTTTTTTTCACCTCTTCTTCCATTTTCTTCTGCTTCTTCTTTTTCACCCTCGTCTTGCATTTTTCTTCTGATTCTTCTTTTTCACCCTCTACTTCCATTTTTTCTTCTGCTTCTTCTTTTTCACCCTCTTCTTCCATTTTTCTTCTGCTTCTTCTTTTTCACCCTCTTCTTCCATTTTTTTCTTCTGCTTCTTCTTTTTCACCCTCTTCTTCCATTTTTTCTTCTGCTTCTTCTTTTTCACCCACTTCTTCCATTTTTTCTTCTGCTTCTTCTTTTTCACCCTCTTCTTCCATTTTTTCTTCTGCTTCTTCTTTTTCACCCACTTCTTCCATTTTTTCTTCTGCTTCTTCTTTTTCACCCACTTCTTCCATTTTTCTTCTGCTTCTTCTTTTTCACCCTCTTCTTCCATTTTTTTCTTCTGCTTCTTCTTTTCACCCTTTTTTCCATTTTTTTCTTTTCTGCTTCTTCATTTTTTTTTTCTTCTTCTTTTTTTTCTCTCTTCTTTTCTTTCTTTTCACAATTTTCTTCCATTTTTCTTTTTGCTTCTTTTTTTTCACCCTCTTCTTCCATTTTTATTTTCTTTTCTTATTTTTTTTTTTCTTCTTCTTTTTTTCTTTGCATTTTTTTTTCTTCTTTTTCACCCTCTTCTTCCATTTTTCTTCATTTCTTTTTTTTTTTTCTTCTTCCATTTTTTCTTCTGCTTCTTCTTTTCACCCTCTTCTTCCATTTTTTTCTTTTTTGATTCTTCTTTTCACCCTCTATTTTTTTTTTCTTTTGCTTCTTCTTTTTTTTATTTTGTTTCTTCCATTTTCTTCTTTTCTTTTTTTTCACCCTCTTCTTCCATTTTTTTCATTTTTTTTTCTTTTCACCCTCTTCTTCTTTTTTTCTGCTTCTTCTTTCTTTCTTCCATTTTCTTTGCTTCTTCTTTTCTTCTTTCATTTTTTTTTCTTTTTTTTCTTCTTCCATTTTTCTTCTGCTTCTTCTTTTTCACCCTCTTTTCCTTTTTTTCTTCTGCTTCTTCTTTTTCACCCTCTTCTTGTTTTTTTTCTTCTTCTTCTTTTTTCACCCATTTTTTTCTTCTTCCATTTTTCTTTCTTCTTCTTTTTCACCCTCTTCTTTTCATTTTTTTTTTCTTTCTTCTTTTTCACCCTCTTTTCCATTTTTTTTTCTTTCTTCTTTCTTCTTCTTCCATTTTTTCTTCTGATTTTCTTTTTTCACCATTTTTTTCTTTCCTTTTTTTTTTTTTTTTCTTCTGATTCTTCTTTTCACCCTCTTCTTCCATTTTTTCTTCTGCTTCTTCTTTTCACCCTCTTCATCTTTTTTTCTTCTGCTTCTTCTTTTTCACCTCTTCTTGTTTTTTTTCTTCTTTTTTTTCTTCCTTTTTCTATTTTTCTTTTCCATTTTTCTATTTCTTCCTTTTTCCATTTTTTCATTTTTTTTCTTTTTTTTTCCATTTTTTTCTTCTGCTTCATTTTCTTTTCACCCTCTTCTTTTTTTTTTTTTCTTTTCCTTTTTTTCTTTTTCACCCTCTTCTTCCATTTTTTCTTTGCTTCTCCTTTTCACCCTCTTCTTCCATTTTTTTTCTTCTGCTTCTTCTTTTTCACCCTCTTTTTCCATTTTTCTTCTGCTTCTTTTTTTGGCTTCCTTTTTTTTTTCCATTCTTCTTTTTTTTTTTTCTGCTTCTTCTTTTCACCCTTTTCATCCATTTTTCTTCTTCTTCTTCTTTTCACCCTCTTCCATTTTTTTTCTTCTTGCTTCTTCATTTTTTCACCTTCTTTTTCCATTTCTTTTTTTTTTCTTCTTCTTTTCACCCTCTTCTTCCATTTTTTTTTTTCTTGTTTTCTTCTTTTTCACATTTTGGACCTGGTTCTTCTTTCCATTTTTCTTCTGCTTCTTCTTTTTCTCTCTCTTCTTCCATTTTCTTCTGCTTCTTCTTTTTCAGGTTTCTTCTTCTTTCTTTTTTTCTTCTTCTTCTTTTCACCTTTTTCTTCTTCCATTTTTCTTCTGCTTCTTCTTTTCACCCTTTCTTTTTTTTTTCTTCTTTTCTTCTTTTTTTTCTTCTTCCATTTTTTTCTTCTTTTTCCCTCTTCTTCCATTTTTTCTTCTGCTTTTCTTTTCATTTGCACTTCATTTTTTTTTTCTTTTTCTTTTTCAATCCTTTTCTTCCCTTTTCTTCCATTTTTTCTTTTTCTTCTTCTTTTTTTTTCACCCTCTTTTGTTTTCCATTTTTTTTCTTCTTTCTTCTTTTCTTTCTTCTTCCATTTTTTCTTTTTTTTCTGCTTCTTCTTTTCACCCTATTCTTGCATTTTTCTTCTGATTCTTCTTTTCACCCTCTTCTTCATTTTTTCTTCTCCTCCTTTTTTTTCTTTTGCTTCTTCTTTTTCACCCTCTTCATCCATTTTTTTCTTCTGCTTCTTCTTTTTTCACCCTCTTCTTCTTTTTTTTTCTTCCATTTTCTTCTTTCACCCTCTTCTTCCATTTTTTTTCAATTTTTCTTTTTTTGATTCCCTTCTTCCATTTTTCTTCTGCTTCTTTTTCCCTCTTCTTCTGTTTTTTTCTTCTGCTTCTTCTTTTCAACCCTCTTCTTCCCTTTTTTTTTTCTTCTTCTTTTTTTTCTTCTTCTTTTTTTTTTTCATTTGCACATCTCTTTTTTCACCCTTTCTTCCATTTTTCTTCTGCTTCTTCTTTTTTCTTCTTCCATTTTTTCTTCTCCTTTTTTCTTTTCACCCTGTTTCTTCCATTTTTTTTCTTCTGCTTCTTTTTTTCCATTTTTCTTCTTCCATTTTTTCTTCTGCTTCTTCTTTTCACCCTCTTCTTCCATTTTTCTTCTTCTTCTTTTTCACCTTTTCTTCTTCCTTTTTTTCTTTTCTTCTTTTTCACCCTCTTGTTTTTCCATTTTTTTCTTTTCAAAAGAATTTTCCTTTTCTTTTCACCCTTTTCTTCTTTTTTTTTTTCTTTTTTCCTTCTTCTTTTTCCATTTTTTCTTCATTTTCTTCTTTTCTTCTTTTCACCCTCTTCTTTTTTTCTTCTGCTTCTTCTTTTTCACCCTCTTCATCCATTTTTTTTCTCAATTCTTCTTCTTTTTTCTCTTCTTCCATTTTTTCTTCTTCTTTTTCATTTTTCATCCCTCTTCTTCCTTTTTTTCTTCTGCTTCTTCTTTTCACCCTCTTCTTCCATTTTTCTTCTGCTTCTTCTTTTCACCCTCTTCTTCATTTTCATTTTTCTTCTTCTTCATTTTTTCACCCTCTTCTTCCATTTTTTCTTGTTTTTCTTCTTCTTCTTTTCACCCTCTTCATCCATTTTTTTCTTCTGCTTCTTTTTTTCTCTCTCTTCTTCCATTTTCTTCTGCTTCTTCTTTTTCACCCACTTCTTCCATTTTTTCTTCTGCTTCTTCTTTTTCACCCTCTTCTTCCATTTTTCTTCTGCTTCTTCTTTTTCACCCTCTTCTTCCATTTTTTCTTCTGCTTCTTCTTTTTCACCCTCTTCTTCCATTTTTTCTTCTGCTTCTTCTTTTTCACCCACTTCTTCCATTTTTTCTTCTGCTTCTTTTTCACCCTCTTCTTCCATTTTTTCTTCTGCTTCTTCTTTTTCACCCTCTTCTTCCATTTCTTCTTCTGCTTCTTCTTTTCACCCTCTTCTTCCATTTTTTTCTTCTGCTTCTTCTTTTCATTTTTTCTTCTTCCATTTTTCTTCTGCTTCTTCTTTTTCACCCTCTTCTTCCATTTTTTCTTCTGCTTCTTCTTTTTCACCCTCTTCTTCTGTTTCGCCATATCACAGGCATTTGACTGTGATGCATGTGTTTGGTATACCCTTATCAGATTAGGTGTCATGGTGGTAATATTGGATTCGATTATTTTTACACCAGCATCACTTCCTTGGCGTTCTGCTGACACACTCAATAATAATAATAATAATAAAACAATCAACGCGGATCGCTCAGACATCGCGATCAAAGACACCATAAGAACGGAGTGTGCTTTCTTATTGACATGGCAACCCTTGCAGATTGTACTGTATCTTTGAAGTGGAAATCTCAAAATGTGGCACATGATGACATTAATAATTCCAGATATATTTGGAGCCCTTGTATTGATTCGAAAACTTTCTGATAGACTCATTGTAATGGTTCTTGGTAGCCTTAATGAAATACAAAATATTGTACTCACAAGTACAGCTCATACCTTACGAAGAAAATAGGTTTGATCTTAGTTTTTTGGTTCTTCTTTTTTACAAAAATGATGTGAAAAATGTCATGAAGCCATTTCTGACCTTTGGTTTCTGGTTGGGACCCGGAAGGAAATGTGTATACAATAGAAAGTAAAAGAAATAATAATAATAATAATAATAATAACGAGATGAAGAAGAATTAGATGAACAAGTGTGAAGTCCAGACACTATCTATATATAGAAACAATATAATTACAAATCAGTAGATAAGCGACTCTGTTATTCGCCAAACTCCAGCTACTTTTGGAATTTAAATTTAGCTTTACTTGTCAACCTACTAATCCTTAATCAGCAGGAGTCAAGTGTCAACCGATTTTTGAGCAGGCATGCTTACAATTCAGAACAGCTGTTTTTTGCAGTAAAGTTTATGAGGGAAGAGGAAAAGAAAATTGAAATGATTGGTAATTTAAGGTTAGGTTTATTCCTAATTTTGCTAATCTCTAATCAACAGAAGGCGAGTATTAAATGATTTTTGAACGGATATACATAGTTCATGAGGGAAGAGGAAAAGAAAAATGAAATAATTGATAATTTAAGGTTAGCTTTATTAGTGCTTTTGCTAATCTCTAATCAGCAGGAGTCGAGTGTTGCAACGGACATACGATATAGAACAACTGTTTTTGCAATAAATTTCATGAGAGAAGCAGAAAAGGGAAAAAGGAAAACATTAATAATATAATGTTAGCTCTATTCGTACTTCAGCTAATCCCTAACCAGTAGGATTTTCGTGTTAAATGATTTTTAACATACTTGCTTAAAATTTATAAAAATTATTTTATTAAAATGTAGGAATGTATCTGGTGTAAGCGATAAGGAAAAAGTAATTGATAATTATTGCATGGAATAATGAAATTTTCCATGTAATTATACAATTATTTTGCAAAAAGAAATCTTTTTATATATTTATATATTTATTTCATGGGTATTATTATCGGGTATTATTATTATTTCACGGATGTTATTAGGTATTATTATTATTTCACAGCTATTATTATCGGGTATTATAATTATTTCACGGGTATTAATATCGAGTATAATTATTATTTCACAGGTATTATTATCGGTTATTATTACTTCACTGGTATTATTATCGGCTAATATTATTATTTCACGGGTATTATTATCGGGTATTATTATTATTTCACGGGTATTATTACTGGATACTATTATAATTTCACGAGTATTATTATCGGGTATTTTTTCACGAGTATTATTACCGGATATTATTATTATTTCATGGGTATTATTATCAAGTATTATAATTATTTCACGGGTATTATTATCGAGTATTATTATTATTTCACGGGTATTATTATTGAGTATTATTATTATTATTTCACGGGTATTATTATTGAGTATTATTATTATTATTATCGGGTATTATTATTATTTCACGGGTATTATTACTGGATATTATTATTAATTCACGAGTATTATTATCGGGTGTTATTATTTCACGGGTATTATTACCGGATATTAATATTATTTCATGGTATTATTATCGAGTATTATTATTATTTCACGGGTACAATCATCAAAGGTGTTATTATTATTTCACGGGTATTATCATTATTTCACGGGTATTATTATCAGGTATTATCATTATTTCACGGGTATTATTATCAGGTATTATTATTAATTCACGAGTATTATTATCGGGTATTATTATTTCACGGGTATTATTACCGGATATTAATATTATTTCATGGGTATTATTATCGAGTATTATTATTATTTCACGAGTACAATCATCGGGTGTTATTATTATTTCACGGGTATTATCATTATTTCACGGGTATTATTATCAGGTATTATTATTATTTCATGGGTATTATTATCTTTTATGCAAAGATGAACATTATTTTCTTTTTACATTTCCAATGTTGATATGATTTTTTCCAACTCTGGTGATGACCACAAACATACAAATATCAGATCACTATTATCGGGGCGAGCGTGAAACAAACAAAACATTATTATAACCAAATTATACACTGAACTCGGAACTATTTCATATTCTTTAAAGACAATTGCTCTAATAAAAATCCCACGAAGATGTGCTGTTTGACGATGTTAATTTAACAATAAACGACTTCATTGAAGAAGACGTTTTTTTTTTTATTTTAGCGTAATTTTTTTAAAATTGGTATCACCCCATGCAAGGCATTAAAGCCACTAAGACACTAGGGGTTACAGGGTGTGACCGAATTAGAAACAGAAACATTAATAATGAGCGGGAAGAGAAAAGAGTAATCAGGAGGACAGTAGATAGCGATTGACATTGCATTTAAATTTTTGCAGATTAAAGTTGGCTGGAAAGCATGGAGCGGGAAGGCAGTTCCACAAGTGAGAAGTGTGAGAAAAGAAACTCTTAGCATAGAACTTACGGCTACATGTAGCCAGCTCAAATGTAAATTGAAGAGATCACGATGCCAGTCTAGTACTGCGATTAAATTCGAAAAGTCTAGGTACGAAAGCGAAGAGCGATATTTATTCTACTTATGTACAAAAATGTGGCACAAGGCCGAAATGAGGATTGAGGAAAAGAACGGTCTTGTTCTGTCATAACATTAAACTTAGCTAGCCACAAACACTGACTCAAACATACAACAATATTCCTTACACCAAAACAACGCATTCCACAGCGAAGAGCTCATTCGAAAAATTACCATGAAAGTATTTATAGAAAAGACACAGAGAGGCAATATTACGTCGGTGGGAAAGTGACTGAAGCCGAGTCGCCAGATCGAGACCAATAATATTGCTGATTCTTCATTGGATCTTATCAAGAAGCTCAAGGTAAATAGCAGGGGAACCGGACCATATCTAGCAGAGAAATTCTAAGCATGGACGAAGGGTAGATTAGATAAATGTGTAAGATAGATTCTGGAGAGAAAATTTAAGCTGACTCTGCTAATATTTTCAAAAAACAACTTTGAATTAAAACTTCTCTTCAAAAAAACGTACCAGAAATTTTGGCGACAAAAGGAAATTTCTGAAAGGTATCTACTGTGAAGTTATCAAACCGAAAGGGATTTCAACAAGCGAAAAGTGCGAGAAAAGAAACTGCTAGCATAGAACTTGCGGTTG